GATACTGCCTCAGAAACCCAAGGAGGGGTTGTTATGAGTCGGGTCCAACTCGACGGCACATAACAACAACAACAACAGCTTTGGGAACGGTCTCTAGCTTATCGCACGCTTGAACCCTGCATGTAGCTGAGTCTCTGTTCAGCAGTCTATCACACTCTGCAAATCTTGGGACTTTCAATGGACTTGAATTGATGGCCTACTGTGTGCTTATTGCTTGTTGACCTGGGGTTTGTCAGCCTCAGCAGCCAGCGGCTGAGTGAAGAAAAGCCTCTAGCTTCAGTGATCTGGGAGCAGGAGGCAGAGCTGAAGCCCAAGATTGAGGGGCTTTCACCCCACCCCTAGAGCCTAGCACTTTGAACTTGGACTGAAAGCCTCCAAATTGTAAGACTAAAACTCCTGTTTGTTAAAGCCATCCCATTTGTGGTATATCTCTGTTAGAGCAGCATTAGGTAGCCAGAACAGATGGGTGGTAGGTTCTGCTCTCGTACACCTCCCTCCCTCTTTTCTTCCAACACTGAGAACTTCGCTCTTGTTTCCTAGGAAAGGTGGCTTTGGGGGTCCTTTAAAGAGTCTTATGGGGCCTCTCAGAATCCGTAAGTTTGATTAATGCACTCAGCTGCTAACTGAAAAGTTGGCAGTTTGAATTCACCGAAGGTCCCTTAGCAGAAAGGCCTGGCAATCTGTAAGTAGTCCCCAGCTTATGATGTATTCAAGTTACGATGAACCGCACTGTGACCGTCCTCGTTTGTCTTGTACATCATATCATTTACATGTACTACATACAACGTTGCAGCATGTTATTTGCTGATGTTGTAATTCTCATACAAACCCCCAAAGATTGGATTTATAAGATACTGGTAATAAAAGACAATAATAATGAGAACTAAAAAAAAATTAAAAAAAAGCATTCACCTTATGTCAGAACTGACATAAGATGGAGTCATCAGAATGGAACCCTTCCGTAAGTCAAGGACTACTTGTCCTTCCAAAAAATCATTCATTGAAAACCTGTAGACACACATGGGGCCACCATGGGTGAGAATTGACTCTGTGGCAACTAGTCAAAGCATAACTGGTATGGGATCTCTCACCCTGCACAGGCCCTTGGCATGGGAGATCAGCTTGACCTCTTTCCCTCTCTTTGGCTTCCACACTGCAGCTCTTTCCTTCTGGGTCACTCGTCCAGAGGTAGTCCCTTTGCTGAAGGGAGGGAGAACTGCAGTCAGCTCACGGCCAGCACCTTCTGCAGTCACCTTCCCTCATTTACTTGCCATGCCTGATAGTGTGGATGTGGTCCTTACACAACAGCCCGGTACTCAACATCCAGCAGCAGCATCGGGCACTCTGCTGGACATGCAAATTAGCAACAGTCAGATGGGAGGCATTTCCATCCTTAAATCTGTCAAGGGGAGAATGTGTATGTGCCCTCAGCTGTAGAATGCAGTCTCTAGGCCCTTCCCTGACACGTGGCAGGAAATGCAGGGGGAGAAATTTTCTCTATAATTGCTGTTTATCTCCAGTGATGTGTAGGTGTGTGTGTGTGTGTGTGTGTGTGTGTGTGTTTATGGTAAAGGACAAGGAAGAGGAAGGGGATGGAGTTTCCTGAAGCAGCTTCTGTTGGAAGTTTGCCTCTCAAGAAGCCTTGCAGGGAGAGGAACCCTAATAGCTGAAAGTTCTCTGAACTTGGAATGTGGGTTCTTTAGTGTCTTTTATTCTTAGCTGTGGGTCTTCGCTGCCAATTCTGGCACTGGACACACCACATTATCTTGTTACCCTGAATTAACACATTATGTTCAGTTTCTCAGGCATCATAATGATGGGATTGGCTTGCTTGCATGGCACAATAACCGATGTGTAGTGACTACAGTTTCACATCTCTGACTGCATTGACCTCAGGTGTCTTTTCTGATCATGTTATAAATATACTACTTTAACCAAAAGGAATTTTAATCAGAAGATATGCTGTAAGAAGTTTGAAAAAGATAAGCAGACATCACCAATTGAGCAGAGAAGCAGTAAAAATGAGAGAAACACATTGGTGGTGAGGAAGAAAGGTGTGTGAACTCTTTATTAATACTGAGGAGGTTTCCAATGATAAGACTGACAAAAGAAACACACAGCAATATTATAACAACACACGAAAACACTGGCTGGCTTAACCACTTCTCTCTGTTTGGTAAGATGCTGAAGTACAGTTGCAATCCATGGGAACTTACTGATAAACCCTTAGCCAAATCCAAACTCAGCTCCACGACACATTTCCCCTGCTCTCTGACCATCATTCAACATCCCTCCAACCTCATTCTAATCTTTCCCCTAAAACCATTTCCTAAAATTTTTGCTACCAATGGTATTTTCTTGCTTTTGTAGATAAAGAAAAACTATTAAAATGTTAGTTGGTGCCATTTTTTAATATATATGAGTAAAAGATTTGGTAATTTCCTCCCACACCAACACAAAAGCAGGGAGCAGAAAGCACAAAGATCTCCTTAGATTTAACCCAAACCCTCCACACAGCTGCACAAGTCCTTGGCTCCCCTTTGCTCCCTGCCCCTGTCTATAGTCACTTGGACTTTTTGTTTCCTTTCAGCGGCTCTGAGACTGCGTTCCTGACCTCTTCCTCGGGGATGAACACGCTGATGGTGAAGTCACTGATCTCCGTGCCATACTTGTTCTTCACCACCAGGCCATATTTGCCCGAGTCAGAGCTGGTCACTCCCTTGATGGTGAAGTAAGCTGTTTTTCCTGCCTCAAACTTAAGGGTGCAGTGGTCGTCTGAGGCCAAAGTCTTCTCATTCTTCATCCAGGAGACCTCTGGAGCAGGATCACCCCACACGGTGCAGGTGAGATTAAGGGCCTGCAAAATAGATTTTATGTGAGGGAAGGAAATACATCAGGTATAATGATGATCCAACTTCAAGAATGTTTCTGGTGGAGAAAGACTGTCACCCTTGAATGTGGCTTTCTTTTAGAAAATCATCTATATAGAACAAATGGACAATAGCTATTTTAAGCATAAATGAGAAGGTTGGGAGAGGTAGGGCGTTTAAGTCAATGGAGGTAAAACAACTAGAACAGAAATGATGAGGATATTGAGACAATGTGAAGAATTGGAACCAATGTCACTCATCATTATGTCTAGACACTTGAATGCGAAGAGGTTTTGCTGTATATATTTTCACCAAAAAAAAAAAAAAAAAAAAACCTCTCTTGACATGATTAAATCATCTGAGTAAGAATCTTTAGGGCTGAGGCTTTCTAGTTTCTGGAGTGTTGATTATAAAAAACACAAAAGAACCTATACACCAATGTTCACTGCAGTACTATACATAATAGCCAAAAACTGGAAACAACAGAAATGTCCATCAACAGATGACTGGAGAAACAAAATGTGGTGTATACATACAATGGTATACTCAGGCCTAAAGAGATATAAGTCCTGATGCATGCCACCACATGGATGAACCTTGAAAACATTATGCTGAATGAGGTAAATCAAACACAAAAAACCAAGTAATGTATGATCCTACTTATATTGTGGCCCACAGGCTGTTTTGAGAAGTAGATAGCTAGGCTTCCTTCCTAGGCAGCTCAGGGTGGACTTGAACCACCAAGCTTTCAGTTAACAGCCAAGTGTGTTAGCTGTTTGCACCACCCAGAGACTCCTAATTTGGGAAAGGATAATGGTAATGATTGCATAACATAATGGACAAGATCAATATCACTGACATACATGTAAAAATTGTTGAATTGGCAAATGTTCTGTTACATATATTTTTACCACAAAAAACAAATAAGCGAACCATACTGAGGAACCTATTTCCACCTCCACCTCCACCTTCTCTTTCATAAACACAACATGCCTTTTGCTCTCCTGTGGCATGTGGATTCGTCTCAGTAGAGAATCTCACTGCCACACTCACCACCTGCTCTCCTTTGCATCTCATTTGTATCACTGAGTCCAGCCACAGAAACCTCACAGCTGCTTCGGATAATGTAACTAATTTTCAAATTCCATCTTCCTCATTTTACTTCTCCAAACACCACCCAATCTGTTGTAGTTGCAAATGTGTTCTACCAAAATGTATTCCTAAACAAAGTATTCCCATATGGGCTGAAACCCTCTCATTCTAAAAGACCAATATTTAGGCCTACAGTTTTAATTTACTCTACTTTTTTTTTTTTTTAACTGAAATTGAGGCAAATGTAGATTGGTATGCAGTTTTAAGAACTAATACTGTGATATCCTGTGCACCCAATTCTCAGTTTTTCCCAACGATAACATTTTGTGAATCAAATATTTCACAATATCATAACCAGGATATTGATATTGATATGATTCACTGATCCTGTTCTCATTTTCCCAGTTTACTTGCACTCATTTGTGTGTGGGGTGTTTGTGTGTATCTAAGATCTGTGTAGGCTGTGGATCCACCATCACAATGAAGATATAGAACATTCCCATGACCACAATGATCCTTTCTGTTGCCCTTTTTTAACCACACCCACTTCTCTCCCCCAACCCCTACTCTAACCCTATTCCTAACCCTTGGCAATCACTAATCTGTTCTCTATTTCTAAAATGTTATGCAAATGGCTTATACATTATGTAATCTTTTGAGTCTGCCATTTTTTATTCAGCATAATTCCTTGGGGATTCATCCAAGTTGTTGTGTGTTTCAAGAGTTTATTCTATTTTATTGTTAAGAAGTATCCCATGGTATGTATCTGTTGAGTGATATCTGGGCTGTTTCCCGTTTTGGGTTATTATGGATTAAGCTACTGTGAACATTCTTATGCAGGCTTTTGAGTGCACATAAGTTCTCATTTCTCTGGGATAAATGCCCAGGAATATGACTCTAGAGTCATATGGTAATTGCACATTTTTTTTTTTTTTTTTTAAGACATGGCCAAATTATTCCAGAACAGCTGTACCATTTCATCTTACATTCCCATCAGCAATATACAGGTGATTCAATTTCTCCACATCTTCACCGGCATTTGTTGTTTTCAGTGTTTTGTGTTTCAGCCCTTTGAAAGTGTGTTGTGATATTTCATTCTGGTTTTAATTACCATTTCCGTGATAGCTAGTAATGTTGAATTTGCTTTATATTTAAATTCCATTTTTACGTTTTTTCCTTACTGAAATCCAGCAATTATAAGGAAAAGAACTAGTCCTCCCACAGAAAGGTTATCCTTCTAAATATTTTGAAAAGTCTTATTGGGAGTTCTGGTGGTGTAGTGCCTGAGGCATTTAACTGCTAACCCACCAGCCACTCCTCAGAAAGAAGATTGGGCAATCTACTTCTGTAGAGATACTGCCTGGGAAACCCAAGGAGGGGTCACTATGAGTTGGGAACTGACTCTATAGCAGTGAGTTCCTTTTAAAATTAGGTAGCTTAAGAAATCTGTTTTCCTTCCACCAATAACTGGCATTTCCTACTAAATTATTCTAAACTTCAGCAAGAAAAATATGAGCCCTATTATTGTCATTAATCTTATTACCTAAGATCAGGTATATGAGTTCAAAAATTATGATTACTTGAGGGTTAAAACGTTTACCAAAAAAAAAAAAAAAAAACTCCCCAAAACTTGAAGTGTCATTGGAAACTATTATTCCTGCTTTAGGTTTGAGTCCTAAGAGTTTACAAAGTGCTTTCACATACCTTCTCTCTTTTCATTCTATGACCCAGTGAGTTGCGTATTTGTAACCTCATTAGGTAAGAAAAAATGAAAAATAGTCCAGCCAACTGTGGTCACATTTTCTACATATGATGAAATTATAGCTGAATGAAACTTACCTCACACTAAAGCATTTATATGTGCCATATTTCACTACCCTTATTCTAATCATCCATTATATTTTCTCATTGCCCTTTTGATCTGGGAAAAGGTTGGTTCCACAGCAAATAGCCATGCCTGTATGACTGGTATAAGGAGCTCTGGTGGCGCAGTGCCTAAGGCACTTGACTGCTAAACAGAAGGTTGGCAATTCAAACTCACCAGTCACTCCGCAGAAGGAAGACAGGGTAATCTACTTTTGTAAAGATTTATGGCCTGGGAAACTCACTGGGGGTCGCTATGAGTCAGAATCGACTCGATGGTAGTGAGTTTTTTTTTTTTAATGACTTGTGTATTAAACTTGTTTTAATGAGACATAGGAATGAAGAAAGTGAGTCCAGATTAGAAATTCTATTCGTTGCTTTTCAGAGGAATTATTATGGAACCAGGAAATCCCAGTTTAAAACTAAATGGAAAGAACTCAGTTTTAACAGAAGAGCACCTGCAGAAATAGCCCTGAGCCTCAGGTTTTTCTTCAAGGCTGAAGTAGTTAATAGTACAGTCCACTATGCGTTAGAGGTTGTGTCTTTCTTCAATTATATTTGCCACATAATTATGATTGGACATTTTTAGCTTCTCATTAATTTAAAGGGTAACACTGGAAAGACACTTAATGGTCTATAAATGTCTTCATGGGACAAAATTGCTGAAAGTGGGACCATCCTGACGCTTAGACTACAAAGCATGAAAATGACTAGAAAATGGAATTTTTAACCTTGAATTTGGCTATTCTGTAGTCAACTATAAACAGTGGTGAATAAGATGAAGATAACTCACTCACTGCCATCAAGTCGATTCTGACTCATAGTTACCGCCATTGGGTTGCCAAGGCTGTAAATCTTTTCAGAAGCAGACTGCTTCATCTCTCTTCCACAGAGCAGCTGGTGGCTCGAACCAATGACCTTTTGATTAGCAGCCAAATGCCTTAACCACTATACCACCAGAGCTCCTGGAAGATGGTGAGAAGTTCAATGTAAGGTAAAAGATGGAACAAAGTCAAGGACACTGAATCCATTCCCTGTGTGAGAGAAACGGGGACTGTAGGGTCCATACTTACTTTACCCTCCTGAATGGTGACCACATCTGGGAGGCCGCCCAGCACACGGGCACGATCTGTAAGCACAGGTGATTCTGGTTAGTCTCCGAAATGAGGAGGCCAGTGATAACACTCACAAGACCATCCCAGTGAACTAATTTCTCAAAGTTTTTTTCTCTGTCCTTACAGTTGTTTCATACCTGATCTCATATGCAAAATAAGAAAACAAACCGGTGATTTAGGATTTTAATCCTTCTGCACACTCTTAGCTATGCATGCAAGTGCCTGTATGTATACCTAAAATATCAACTTGAGCTTGCTTTATTGCATCAAACTGCTGTATAATTTTCATGGCTATTTTTAGCCTAGTGGAGCTAAGCTTGAGCAGGCAGAGCTCAGAGTGGATGGCTTCCAAGCCTCTTTTATGGGTTTCCCTATGATTGAAAAAAGGGAAGCATAATGGAAGGGCTGCATGCCAAGAGGATCAGGAGGCCTGGGCAGATGTGGGTTTTCTTTGAGGCCTTCCCTAGAGAACTGTCCTCTCTCTTCTCCTGCTGCAGTAGTGGACTGACCTTTGCAGCCCTTGATTGTGCTGGCCAGGGCTGCCATCTACGGCTGTGCAGTACAGAGGCCCTCAGACAAGGGGACAATGTAGATGATGGGGCACTGACATCCAGGGCTTCCTCCCCTGGCCAAACCCTATGCTTGTAATCCATGCAAAGGCACATCCTCTGGCCCGAAGTCAGTGCCATGGTCTCCTTTTGAGGTCTGCTTCAATGAATTCACTACTCGTGATCCTCATTCCTATAATGCCTTTCTCCAGCAGGCAGGGTGAGGCTGATTCCATTGCACCATGTTTAAGCTTCGCTTATATTTGATTCCCTGCGTGACCTGCTGGGTGATGTTCACTGTGTGGACGTCAGTCTCCTTATTTGTAAAATAAGGAAGTTGCACTAGGTCTGTGGATGTTAAGTTTTCAAACTCTGCTCTACAGAGTCCATGGGACATCTCTGAGGAGCCTGAGAGGAGGTGTGAGAAGGGAGACATTGCGTTAGGAATCTAGAAGCCCATCTCAACTTCAATTAAAACTAACTCTACTTTTACCAATTTTGTATATTGAATTTTTGTATAAAGTTTTGTTTGAATTAAGTGTGCTGAAAAGAGTTCCGGCAAGATGGCGGACTAGGCAGAAGGACTGCACAGACCCTTTTCAACAAAGACAAGGGAAATCAATTGACACAGACACAGAAGATAATCTTGGACCCCTGAGCCTTGACGGGAAGGATACAGAAGTAGACTAACCCCAACTAGCAGAAGAATTTGCGTGAAAATACCAAAACAGGAGACATACGGAGCTGCGGTCTGGCAGGGACCTGAACGCCCGTGATGGCACAGACGGCTTGGACATTCCTGAGTGGTGGTAGGACCTAAAAATTAACCTAAAAATCACCCTGCTAGCCAGGGACTGCACGGACTGTGCACGGTGGCTGAGGAACAAACGGAGAAGGTGAAGAGAAAGGTGGGCTGAGCTGTGGACTTTTGCCGGTCC